TCATAACTTCCTGCAACACTTCTTGACATATAACCTGGCACTACTGAAATTAATGCAGCTGCAAATAATCCTGCTCTATCTGAATGTACACGTGATCCAAATAAATATGCAACAATACATGTTATTACACTATAAATTGGTCCCATACAAACACAAATTAATCTTACATCAATGATTAAATTGAAATATGCTAAAAATTTAAATATAAATGCTGATGTAAACATTAATCCTGGAAAAACAGTTGTACCAATATTTCTTCCTAATGGATACCAACTATCTGGATCAAACCAATTCATAAATGCTGTTGGTCCATGTTCTACAAGATATTTTGTTGCTCTGAAATTAAAATATGGATCAAATTCATGAATAATTGCTTCATACATAATAATAGAATATAATCTAGAACTAAATGCAATTATACAAATAAGAGTAATACCTATATTTTTTAGAATGAGTTGAACAAGTGTTTTAAAGAAACCCATCCAGTTTATTTTTTTTAATAGTTCTTCTTCACTTTTTATTTTGTTTTTTTTATTTTATTTTGTTTTAGTTTTTTTTTTTGTTTTTTCTTTCCTTTAATAAATATTATTAAAATCAACTTGAAACTATCGAATCTATGAACCAAAAGGAATTAGATGAAGAACATACCTATCTTTTATCTGTAGTTCAAGCTTTTCAATTATATGAAGAGTTTGGTAAACAATGGGTTGTTTACCAATTATCAATGTTTAAAAGTCTCAAAGAAGAAGATAAAAAATTATTACCGAATTACCATCAGAAATGGAATTTAATATTATGTGGATTACATGCAAATCAAATGATTTTTGATGCAATTATCAGAAATCAAGAAGATATAATCACTCATTTACATTTTCCTATTCTTTCTGAAGAACAAAAACATAATTTAATTCTTTCTATAAGTGACAATGAACGAAATGAACTTTGTCAAAAATTAGATAAAGTTCGTTCAATGTTAACTCATTTATATAGAGACTGGAGTATTGAAGGAATAAATGAAAGAAAACTCTGTTATGAACCAATTCTTCATAGACTAAAAGAATTATATCAAGAC